ATATTCAATTATCCAATAAGAATTTCAGGAGAGATAGAAAATTGAGACAGTCTTCCTATGAAGTACACAAACACAGTGAGGAAGCAATTTATTTTAGGCTATTTCTAAATAGTAAAACTTGGAAAAGTCAGACTATATTTTAATCTGATTGTGACTTACTGGTAGAGTAAAGATGGGAACACAAGCATTTATTTAGAAACTTTAACAAATGAGAAAAAAATGAAAGCAATCTTGAAAATGTCTAGATATGTAACAGGGAAGAAATAGAAAGTGAAGTGATTCAAAAGCAACATCTGTTTATGGACAGACAACACGCAGTAAATGTATTTAGATCCACATTGTTGTTGTGCTCCCCTTAGCATTTAAATTGATTCACCATTTATAATCTACCCGTACCTTCCCGTCAGACATGAAGGGAACAACTGTGATGAGCAGAAGTTTATTTTATTTTTTCTTTTGGACTCCTTCATTGGAAACATGTTATTAGTGTTTTATCTTTTATTTCACTTCAAGATATCTAAATGAAAGGGAATGGGGAATTTGGGTACAGGAAGTCTCCAATTTAATCTCCTTTGCAGCCTGATTCCTGTAGAGTGAATAGCACAGTCTGCTTTTATTGGCACTTTCAACTGCAATATCAGGTTCATTTCAAAAGGTAATGCAATGTATTTGTCATCACCCCACTTCCTTCGGTAAGGACACTGATACCAAATGGCTACCAGTTGGTGGTCTGAAACAGATAGCTCATTGAAAATGAAAACTCTCGCCTCTAAACCTAAAGAACTCATCTCACTTGTTATGTGTCTTCTGTTTCTACAAAGGAATGCAATTGCTTTCCACTATTTGATCTTTTAGTAATCCATCTAGGTAACAATAAAGAAATAAAATAATATTTACTCACTGCTTGCTTCTGGAAAGACAGTAACATATTTCATGAATTTGAAAGAATAACTTCCCCAGCAGGAAACAAGAAACAACAGATTACAATCAATACTATGATTGACTATAGTATAAAACATGCTTTGCACACTTCTAGTTGATTCTGTTACTCTCTAACATTATAAGTCTGCCCATCAGCTTCATTTGGCCTAGAATGGTATTTCTTAAACTATGTGTCCTGGAACTACATTATCTGCATATTTGGGAATGTTTTAGAAAGAGAAATTTGTGAGCCTATCCCAGACACACCAATTTTAAACTCTGAGAAAGCAGCTAAAATTTTTGTTTCTACAACCCCTCCTGGTGAGTCTTGATACATACTAGTTTTAAAACCATTGGTCAGAACAAAGGATATAATATGTTTCCCAATCATCTGAGACCTAATTTTCCTATATAATTAATTCTGTAACCCAAAGAATTCTATTTTTTTCATTCTTATTCAGGCTCAATAAGCTTTAATATCCACTATAAAATGAAAATATGAATAATCTAGTTGTACCTCAGAAAATCATATAGGGAGTTAACTGCTGAAAAACAAGACTTAGGAGGATAGTAATGTTACCAAGACATCCTGAGAAATAAATGGAGATGGATGGATAGCTAGATAGCCAGATAGATAGATAGATAGATAGATAGATAGATAGATAGATAGATATTTTGAAAGGGAGTACAGACACGGTATATTGAAGCTCTGTGACTACTACCAAATAATGAATAATTATTAATAAAAAATAAATAATTAATAAAATTAATGATGTTTACCAAATTGCTTCTCCTGATCTGTTATGTCCTTCTTTAGTAGCAATTCTTTAAAAAGTATCGTCAAAATGATGATTGATTTGTAACTTGCATCTGCTACAGGTTTGTATCCACTAGGTATCCTTCCAACTATATCTGTCACAGTTTGAGCTTTACCATATGAAACTCTGTGGCAAGATTATTGAATAAGCAGTAAAACTGGGCAAGTGAAATGGGAAAATAAATGGCATGTAATTGTGGGGATTTATCTCACTGCGGGGAAACAATGTGAAATATTTACCTCTAAGTTATTTAAATTGACAAGCAAAGAGCTGGGTATTTACAAAAGTTCTCAACCACCACTAAAGCCTCTTCCTTTGATTAGCAATGCACAAATCTTGATTAGTAATTCACTCTCTAGTGGCCAGAGAACTTCAAGTAAAGAGATTCAAGGGGTGTCAGTTGCAATTTCAGAAAATATAAGTAGCAGGGGAAGGGACTTGAGTTAGAAACCTCAAGACGTTTTACACTCCATTAAATTTGAATAGTACAAAGTGTATTTCTCTTAATTTGAATTGCTCATATAAAATGCATGTCCATATTTATTTCCCCCCTCCTTTTTGAGACAGGATCTTGTTATGCAGTCCAGGCTGGTCTTGAACTCATTATGTAGCTCATGTTGCCCACAGCTCAGGGCAACCCTCCTGTCTCAGCTTCCAGAGTGCTGTGACTACAGACATGCATCATCATGTCCAGCGATTTCTCCTTCTTTGATCCCTCAAATACCTGACAATATATTTTGAGATTGCCATCCCCATACAAAGGTATATGGATTTTTTTCCTACTCAGATAAAAAGAATAATATAAGGGAAAAAATACCTTCTTTTTTAAAAAAGTACAATTATTACCCTTTTCAAAACGTACATTTTAGGGCTGTGGATTTAGCTCAGTGGTTCCAGTGCTCGCTTTGCAAGCATGAGGACTCGGGTTGGATCCAAGGCACACACACACAAAAAAATTACATCTTAGTATACTGCAGACTTGTTTCAACCAGGGTACCACTCCTGAAATTTAGAAGATACATATATGAAATTTGTTTTAGAATTTCAGTATTCTCAGTGGTGGCTCTAATTTTGCAATGATTCTTTAATAGGTTGGTCAGTGCAGGACATCTACTCATGATCAAAGGTATATGAGATGAACAAACTTATTCCTCTCTCTTACTAAAATATAAGAAAATAAACATTATACTGAAACAGAATGTCTCCTAATGGTGGGGAATAATTCCTCTTTCCTGTACAACACTTTAAGAAATTATTTGAATTGGAAAGTTCTTAGTGCTAAGGTGAAAATGAGAAACCTTGAATCAATACTGAAGAAACATAAATCTATGTACCTCCAAACATGTGAAAATATTGTCTTACTGCCCGTCACATTTTACCAGTGTTGGTATGTGCTTCTACTAGTGCAGAGCATTTATTATATTATCTCTGATTACAGATGTTTTCTGAAATATATAAATACTTTTTTTCAAGGATGCCTACTTGACAAACTACGGAATAAAGCAGGTGCTGAGTGCTCAGAATGTGAAGGGTCTACCAGGTCTTTCAAGAACCATGTAGAATCACCTGCCCACTGTGCAAAATGGAGATGAGAAAGATGAGAAACAGTAGTCACTTGCTAGGTGCTGGGAACACTGTCCACTTCGCTGAACTGTGGAGCTTTTCCCAATCTGTTTTGTAAAGATGTCACATAGTGGTAAACTTTCATTAATCTCCAAGTAATGTGGTAATGATGAATAGTTATACACTGAAGAGTCAAAGTTATAAATGGAGTGAATAAACTTAATAATATAGGAAGAGATATGTTGATCCTGCAATTTTACATCACGTTCTCTTTACTTTTCAAATGCCTCCTTCAAAAGGAAGAAATGTACTTCAATGGAACAAAAATAACCTATGTATATTCTATATTCAGTGAATTTCATCTGACTTATAGTAAAGATAAGATGTTAAGCAGAGGAGAAAAATCAACTCACTTCAAGCCAAAGACATAGAACTCCTATTCCATAGTTACAGTAATTCATAGAGACTACTTAGATTCTAGTCCAAAATAAGTTGCATTCTTAAAATAACCTGTAAGACTTAGGCATATAAAAAACTATGTTTTCCAGTTACTTTCTGATTTCAGTGTGACAAAGATGTATATTTTGAAGTTTCCAAGGTAATTGTCTCAACAGTCTTCTGGAAAATAGAAATGCAAATGGAATACCCAAAGGATACTAGCAAAAGTCATATAAGAGTCATGCTGATCATGGCTGTGCAGAAATTTCTTGGTTTCATATTTCAAGGGGACATTCATGTTTTGTGGGAATGTTGAATGTTTCTTTCCATATACCTTTATATCCAGGAAATATGGAAAAGACTAAAAGTTGAAGACAAGTCACATTTGCAAATTCTAGTAGGTTTCCATCTGACTATATCTTTTATAAGTTGTTTCATTTCTCTTAATCAAATATAAGACTATTTTTAGGACATGCATGTGTAAATACTGAATAGTTTCTCTAGTATGATTAACTGAAAATGTAAATAAGGACTAGAGGCTATAATGGATAATGTGAAATAGGAAGAAAAGGTGCAAAGTGGAAGGTGAAGTGGGAGAGGCAGGGGAAACGAAAGAAGGGAATGAATTAATATGAGAAAAAGAAAAAATGGAAACAAAGCCTTTGTAGATAGGGAGGGGTGGAGGGGTTAAAGGAAGGGCAGGAATGGGGGGGAAATAGATGGATTATGTAAAGGTGCAAATTTCCAATGATGAATATCATTACATTGTATGCCTTAAATGTACCAATAAAATTAATTTTAAAAAAGACAATTTTTTTGGTCTTATCCATTTAGCTCTGAATAAACTATAAAATAAAGGGCCTGTGAAACAACTTATAAAGTCAGAATAATGAAAAGAAAACTATCAAATATTACAAGAAAAAAAATCTCAAGAGACTATGTGTTCAAGCTTTCTTTTTTTTTTTTCCTCTCTAGGCATTTGAATGAGTGGCAACAGTAAAGTAAATTCCTGTAGCTATGCAGAGACCCTAATAATACTAGGTACACATCATCATCAGTCATACAGATTCACACAGAAACTAAATAACAAAAGTACAACCAGACCACATTTTCAGTTTCCCACTGGACATAAGACTGCAATCTCAGGAGGAAGAAGTTTTTTTCTAATTCTCATTGTCACTTCACTTCACGAAAGAATGTTCTTAGCTAGGCACGGCTGCTCAGCCCTATAATCAGAGAATTCTAGAAGGCTGAGGCAGAGCGATGGCAAATTTGAGCCCAGCCTGGGCAACATAAGGTCCCCATGAGATTCTGTCTCAAGTGTGTGTGTGTGTGTGTGTGTGTGTGTGTGTGTGTGTGTGTGTGTGATCTCACAGCAGGTATTAGAATCTTATCATTTGTCCTTATAGCTAGGTCTGACTCCAGAGATGCTGTGCCTTCTTCAGTAGCTGTGGAGGTATCGACTCTACCACGTTCCAGTTGCGTCAGATCTTCATTGTGTATATATCCTCATTTTAGGTCAGTGTGAAAACCCTGGGTTCAATACTCGGTAATGGAAAGAAAGAGAGAGAGAGAGAGAGAGAGAGAGAGAGAGAGAGAGAGAGAGAGGGAGGGAGGGAAAACAAGAAAGAAATACACTTTGGACAATTTCCACAAAGTATGATAAATGTGATTATAAATAAAATAAGATTATACCTTACTTTGAAAGGTTAAACACCAGACACATCACCGATTCACTTTTATGTAACTAATTTAGCTTTCACATTGACAGTAAGAAGTACCTTCTATTATCCCCTTTTGACATGTAAAGGAAAGGACATTCCGCAGATTAAATAATTACCCTGAGACCATTTAGCCAGTAAATTTTAAAGTTAATATTCTAAATTGTGTGACGCTTTGGGCCCAGGTTTTAAACCTCTACACCTTACTTCTAACACCACACTCAACCAAATACTTCTGTAACTGAGGCAGTTTCTCTCCATGCTAAGTAATTTTCCAACACTAACTAGATGACCTGCTATTTCAATCTTCACATTACTTCCTTGGGGAAAGTGTCAAATCCAACTTAGGAATCAATACCCTAAGACCCCGGCCAGTTCAGATGACAATCACGAGCTTTAAATTGTCACCTGTGCCTCTGATAGTTCAACTACAAATCAGAGTCTTCACAAATCCTTAGGTTCCACAATTTCCCCAGATGGCTCATAGAATTCAGGGAAATATTTCACTTCTATTTACAGGTTTATTATAAAGGATATTACACAGGATACAGATTAATCAAACGGAAGAGATGCATAAGTCAAGGTATAGAGACTGAGTATGGATCTTCTATGCCCTCTCTGAGCATAAAACCTTCGCTATAACTCCACATGCTCAGCAATCTGGAAGATTTCTAAGCCCAGTACTTCAGAGATCTTTATAAAAGAAGTTTCAGGACATCATTGTGATTAATTTTTAACTGGATCAACAGTCCCTGTCTTATTCCCAGTGGATGGAGGGAAAGGTTGAAAGCTTTAAGCTTAAAATTTTAAGTCTTTCTGATGACGATCCTCCCTGAAGGTTCCAAAAGGAGTTAGCTAATCAGAACAAAAGATATTCTTTTTGCCCAGGGAAATTCCAAGACATTTCAGAGTTCTGTGTCTGAAGACATGGCCAAATGTGTTAAGAGAAGACTCTCCTCATACTCCAATGCTCAAGAAATTGCAAGGATTTCAGAATCATTGTGCCAAGAATTGGGAATGAAAGTCAAAATACATTTCTTATTATTAATCACAGTGTATTATAACAATTTGAAAGTGCTCTTATTTGTCTGTGTAATAAATTATGCATGCGTTACCATAATTATAGCATTGCGTGGTAATACCAGAAGTAGTTGCTATTAGTTGTAACTATTTACTGTTGCTATTACAATCTATTGTTGCCCTCTATTTAATTATACAACCATCTGGTTTCTACAGGTAAACAGTTAAATCATCCGATAAATATTTATATTTGACTAATTATTATGGTAATGATTTAAGACAAAGAAGGAAAAAAGAAAGGAAATGAGAATACGGGAGAGGGAGAGAGGAGGAGAGAGAGAAAAAGGAAGAAATTATTTTACTGAGGGCCAACCTGGGTGGATTCTAATATCCATTCTGAATACACTCTGTAATTCCCTTCTCTTCAATGGACTACTTAGCACCACAAGTCAAAACATTTCATCCCACACAGCAAAAGAATTATAAATGAGGCTTCTCATGGCAGAGATTATTAGTAAACATGCTCAGTAGTCTGCCAGAGATTAAATTCTTTTCAATTTCTAGAAAGATTTTAAATGTCCCTTTTCCCATTGCCATGTGACTTATATGTTTTTTAAATCACCCTTCATGTGCAGCAACCATTGTATTTGAAGATCAAGGAAAGACATCATTGTTAATATTTCGCAAATCTTGACAACTTATATTTTAAAATGGTTCTTTGGAAATGTTAGCACTGTACCCAGAATTAGTTCTGGTTTAACATTGTAAAAATGAAAATATTTCATCTAGTTTTTTTTT